CGAGGGGAGGGGAAGGGCGGCCGGACTGCGCTCGTTAGCGCCGGGGCGAGGGGGCCCCCGGAGCGCGGCGTGGCGTCTCTCCAGCCCCCCGCGCGGCTGCTGGCCGTGCTGACCGGCTTTTCCCCCCCCCCCCCCGGGGACGTCCCAAACCCGCCGGACCTACTGCAAGAAATGCGGCAAGCACCAGCCGCACAAAGTCACCCAGTACAAGAAGGGGAAGGACTCCCTCTACGCCCAGGGTAGGGACGGGTGTGTGCCGGGGGCTCTGGGGCACGGCCCGGGGGAAGTTGCGTGAGGCCCGGGTGGTTAAGGCTCTATGGCAGGGTGATGGCTCTGGGCTGAGCATGCAGCTGCCGGAGAAGGGGGATTGCTTCTGATCGGCTGTGCAGCTGCAGGTTGAGGGCTGTAGGGTTTGGTGATAGTGCCAGCTGTGCTTATACCATATCTTGAGCTGTTGTCTGAACAGAGCCATTTCCTCCTGTAGGAAAAAGACGCTACGATAGGAAGCAAAGCGGCTATGGAGGCCAGACAAAGCCCATCTTCCGTAAGAAGGTGAGTGCTGCTCCTGGACGGAGGACCTGCTAACTTTCTTGGCAATCTTTCTTGGCAATCTTTCTTGCCCAGCTGAACAGGGGCACTTCAGCCTCCTGCAGCCTTGTGGTGGTCCTGTGCTCAGGCCGTGTTATGGCAGCTCTGTGCTGGTAGTGCTGTCCGGGGAGTGTAAGCTCCACATCTGCTCATCTTCCCTGCTGCTCCTGTCTCGTGTAGCTGCTCCTTTTGCTCCTTTTTTTTTCAGGAGCGACGTAGCATGTGTTTGCAGCGCAGCTTCTGCAAGGAGCCTTGACGCTGTAGGGGAGCGGGGTCTTATTGGAAGTGATGCTTTTAATGAAAGGAGTGTTTCCTCATTGCTTGCCAAAGGGGAGGAGTACAGTGAAGGGAAAGTGAGGCTGCTGCTTGCTTTCCTTATGTTCTTGAAGCGTCAGTAGTTTATCACTGAGACTTTTTGCTGGGTTTGAGAGGCTCTGCATAGTGAGGCTGCCTTCACTGATAAGGGTATGATAGAAGCGCACCGCATGCAGCTCCTGGGGGTACCGCAGAACATGACATTGTTTTCTTGCAGTCTGCTGTCTCCAGGGAAATGTGTATCGCTGAGCCAGGAAACGAGCGCTGCTGTGTTAGGCCTTTTCTGAGAGTCTCAAAGCAGCAGTGGAAGGGCAGCAGTGCATTCTGTTACAGATGAGTTGCAGAAACCTGCTGCTGTCATCCTTCCTCTCCAGCGTGGGTATCTGGAACTGCAGTCTTGCAGCATCTTTTCCTTCTGTGTGTCTACCTACCTCCTGCCAAGGAGCTGGGGGGGGACGACAAAATCTGTGGTATTTACAGCAGGGAAGCAAAACTCAGTGGGCTGATTTGTTATAGTTTCTGTGTGAACTGTTTAATTATACTTGTAGAGCTACTTTGCTCACTGCTGGAAAGCCCAGGTGTTCTGCTGGAGATGTTCGGGAAGTCTTCCAGCAAGAAGAAAAAAAAAAAAGACAGCAGTTTTTCAGGTTGACTTTCTGCTGGGAACTGGGGAGACCTTGCAGAAAATGCTTCTGCAAGCAGGGTACATAAAGTAGCCATACTGCTCTCACAGTTCGGCACTCTCCACCTGTATGTCGCCATCACCATTTCTGTTCCTTCCCAGTCAAGTTATATGGATGATTGGCCGAAGTTTATAACTGGTGGTTACAGCTCTGTTCAGCTGCTACAGTAGTCTCGCAGCTTTGGATTATTCCCTCTGTAGTCTTTTGGGTTTCATCTAACTTCTCAGTAGCTGCAGGTCTGCACTGACCACGTTGTGTCACTGCACCTTCTGGGGAAAGTTTGTCAGTGGTGCTGCTTTCAGGTGTTTCTTCTGCCTGGCTTTCTGCTGAACTCGTCCTGAGCAGTGTCAGTCTGTCCTCCCACGCTGCAGAAGTGCCTGTTCCATGGTGTGGTCACTGGCACAGACTTTTTTCCAGCATGGCTGATCGCTGCAGGGGACCAGCCTTGCCCCACTGAGTGCTTTTGCCAGTGTCCTTTATTGTGAAGGTACAGATCCACCATACTCCTGTGCTGGTCCTTAACCAGTAAAAACCTTCTGGTTTTTAATGGAGGGAGCCTAACTGCATTGGTAGTCTTTCGTTACACTTTGAGAACAAGCTGCTGAATCTTCAGGAGTGCAGATAACAAGCTTTTGCTGAGAGCAGCAATTTGTCTGCTTATGGATGTTTTATTCATTGCTGCGCTCTGCTCCTCTCCTCCCAGGCTAAGACCACGAAGAAGATTGTGCTGAGGCTGGAGTGTGTGGAGCCCAACTGCAGGTCTAAGAGGATGCTGGCCATTAAGAGGTGCAAGCACTTTGAACTGGGAGGAGACAAGAAGAGAAAGGTATGTTTGTGTACCTAGGGTGGCTGAGAAGGGGTGGCGACATTCAGCAGTGAATAAACTCACTCTGTCTCTTCCTTCTTACAGGGCCAGGTGATCCAGTTCTAAGCTCCATCCTCCTCTTTGTTATGGACCCTATTAAAGTATTGGGAAGCGATCTGTTGCTTGGTTTTGTGTATCGTCTCTTGTTGGCGGGGTGGGACTTGCAAGTACATCAACAGGAAGGCGTTGCAAAGCTGCTTAGTAAATGAACTGTTTGTAATCGGAAGGCTTTTGAAAAAACCCTGCCACTGGCTGCGATCTGCTTACTGTGCTACCAAGAGGTGGTTTAGAATATGTGTAGAGCCCGAGGCTCTGATGGATTTTTGCACCAGTGGCTTCTTTGCATGAGTGTTGTGCTGCTTTTCTCCCAGCTTATTTATGAGCTTCCGTAGTAGGAGGCTGTCTTCAAAAGGGCCTCCTGCAATCTTCTGCAGTTTGTTTCATTTAAAACATTTCACGTCTCTATTATAGCAGTTCCATTTCACGAATGCTATGGTGCATTTGAATTGTTGGTAGATGAAGTAGTGATTGAAAAAAAAAAGCAGCAGAGCTGCCTGAGTAGGCTTTTTCCCTCTCCAAGTCCTTGCCTGAGCGGGGGCAGGTAAGATTTCTTGCACCCCACCATCATTTCAATGCAGTGGGGGCCAGAGTAATCCGAACTCCCCCGAACAGCCCCTGTGCTTGGCTGTAGGCCCCTCTTTACAAATGGGGAACAGTTGTGCTGCCCTAATGGGTGATGCATGAGCAAAGGCCCTGGCGCAGCTAGCAGGTGTAGTATGAAGGGCTCCATCTGATAAAGTGTCACCCGCACCATTAGGTGGTCGTTACGTGCTGTGGCTCAGCTATGCCTGCGTGCAGTGGCTGTGAGTGTTGTGGTAGCTCAGGGACAGCTTCATGCCTGTGCTTGCCCTGCTGCGCACTGTCACCCTGAAAGTGATGGCATGACGGGCCTCAGCTGCCCACCCCCTCTGTCTGCTGTTGGCAGCCCTTAGAATGTTCCTTAAAAGAAAAAGCCCAAGCACAGCACTGAAGTTTCAAATGAGTAGCGGCTGATGGGCAACCAAGAGCGTAGCTATTACAGGACAGCCTGCCCTGGGCTTTGATGGGATCATCCGCTTGAGGCAGCACCATGCTGCCTGCAAGTAGGGACTCCAGTCAGCAGGTGCTGGGAACGCAGTGCGGACCTCTCAAGGGCAACAGTCTTGTAGTGGAAAGAGAGCTGGAGGATGGAGAAGTGCCTCTTCACATCTTCAGAGGGACTGAGTGCTCAGTTACTGAACAGTAACAGAATTTGTATTTCTGCTTATTCAGTACTGGCTGGTGTGATCGGCATTTTCAAACTCCCACTGCCTCTGCCTGTGAGAAGGACCGTATGGCTGCATCGTATCAGCTTTGCTGAGCACTGTTTGTAGTAATCGTGACAAATTTCACAAGAACTTAGTGACAGGAACAAACGGGCCTGTGTTTTAAAACATTTAATTTCAGATACCATGCTGTACTCCTGTACGGTGGAACCAAGAAAAAGCTTAGCCTTTTTAAGGGACATTTTAATCAAAGTGCTTAATCACAGAAATAACAAATTAAGACATCCTGATTGTGTAGTACTCAGACGAGAACATACTTGTACCTGATGGTTCATAAGTGATTAAGTATCCATCTCCTGTCTGAGAAAGACCTGTGTTATTCAGCCTAAATGCTGCTGCCAGCAGCAGAAAGCAAGCACACAGGTATTTCTGGAAGGGTGCCCCATGAAGGGTGGAGGGAATTCTCATCTAAAGGGAAGTGACAGCCACTGGTGAGAGGAAGAGTGCTGGAGTAAGGAGAAACCCTCAAAAGCTGAGTCCTAAGGCGTGATACTTAATCACATTTACACGAAGCAGGCAGCTGTCAAGAAAGCGGTTGCGAAGAAGTGCAGTGATTTAGGCCAGTCCCTGAGTTGTCTGAAGGTGGACGTAGATGTCCACTCTCTGAGGAGGGTGCTAGGTTTCTTCAGCGGGGGTAGGAGCAGCTTTTCTTCTTGGACTGTGTGCCCCAGCCTGGCGAAGCAAGAGCAAGGCAGCCAGGGTGTGTTTCCCTATTGCCCCTGAAGTGCTGAAGGAGAGCCATAAGATGCTGCATGTATCCTTTGTGTTTCTTTGGGTGGCAGTGGGCGTTAACAGGAGTCGCTGCCCTGCTGGGGCCCGTATAGCCCCTTGGAGGAGGAGTTAGGTGAGGTGCCAGAGGGAGGGTAAACAGAAGAGAAGCAGCGCCCCTTTCTCTGTTATCTCTTGGTGATGGAGTGATGGGTGTTTGTCACATTAGCCTGAAGGTTCAAAGTCCAAGTGGAATCACTTGAGTAGTGAATGCCTGAGGAGAGAACAAAGGCACCCTGCTTGGAGGAAGAAGACAGGCTTCTTGTGACAAGTTTAGACAGTCTGAGGCTTACAAAAAGATTGTCTTTGTGCCTCCTAGAGCGCCACTACTTTCAGCAGCACGGTGCCTGTTGGATTCACCTCCACGCTCAGGGAGGAGACCCAGCTGTAAACCCCCCAGTCCCTGCTGGCTGGCAGGACCTGCCGGATGGAGCACGCTGGGTTGCAGGCCAGCCCATTGCCGAGGAAGGTGAGGGAGAAGGTGAAGTTCTGGGGTCCCCCAATCTCCTGCTTGTTCAGCACCGCCGTAGCGTAGGCTTGGCTGGACAGAGGCCGCTCCCACAGCTCAAAGTTCTTGTCCTGCCAAGGAGAAAATAAACCTGGGGCTTACGTTAAGGAAGGCAGAACTGATGGTCTTCATGCCTGTCTGTTTAAGCAGGCTTCAGAAACAAGTGGGCTCACTAGGCTCCTGTTCCCAAACCGCGAGCACTCCTCTATACCCTATGTGTCCCCTTTCCGAGGAGGCTGGCTGCCTGTGCCCCACGCCGCACCCCCAGCCCGCTCCTGCCGTACCTTGGCGATTTGGTATCCCTGCCTGCCCAGTGGATCCTGGTTGATGGCGATCACCTCTTTGTTCTGGAGCAGCCACTTGGCCTCAGGACTAATGTGCCGCAGGTCGTTGGACATGAAGAGGGGAGCTGCCATAATCGCCCACATTGCCATCTGCGTCACCGCCTGGTCCCAGCTCAGCCCAAAGTTTCCAATCACCAGCTGTGACAAGAAAACAAAAACACCTGGTAACGCTGCCTGCTGAGGAGAAACTGGGCCACCAACCCGAGCACTGGTAAATGACAGGACGCTGAGGGTGGGACCCCTATTTGGGGACTGGTTAGATAGGCTGAGTGCCAGGAGCAGGACCAGCTGGTTGGGAAATGACTAGTGTGGCAATTTAGGATGAAGCACTGGTGGAGGTCAAGAAGGATCCTTAACTGGCTAAGCAGCATTTAAGAATCTGCTTTTGGATGCAGCTATTCCTTCCTTGCAATGCTGGCACCCAGTCTGGCACCCAGGGGTTTTACCTCTGGTGGGAGATCAGCACTTTGCAGACTGTCTCCCACCACCACGCCTGTGTTCTGAACTGGCGCTGCTTGTAGAGGCTGTGTTACACAGAGACAGCACTTCCTCGGTACTGTCCATAGCTGTAGTTCTCCTTCCCCTTCCAGCCAGGGACCTTCTCATCAAGTTCCTGATCCTAGGGCCCCGTCAGAGCCCTTCCCCTCAGTGTTTCCCCCCCGATTCTCTCCCTCCCCATCCTTCTCAGCCCACAGCCAAGGAAAGGATTTTTTGCTGGTGCTGCAAGGGAGGTGGGCGTTGCTCTACTTGCCATGTCAGGATCATTCCAGCCCCCTGGCCCAGCTATCTTCACAATGCTGTCCTGGTGAAGTGCTGTCCAGTCCAAGATACTCTTGATGCTGCTCCAGGAATCATAGACATCAAAAAAGTTCCTCCAGTGATTGCAGTACTGTTTGATCTCTGTGTAATTGGGCTGCCAAAACAACGAGTGTGATTAGCCAGAGAGCCTGGCTGTAAAGAACCAAGACCGCACACAAGGCTAGACTGGATCAGGCATAACTTGGGGGAGAACTATGGTAACACCTTCTATCACCAGCTATCTGGATGATCTAGAGGATGTTGGTTCCCTAGGATGCCTTGTGCCCAGTAACTCCAGTCTGCTACGCTCCAGACAACACTATTGCTTCACTTGGGAGAACAGTTGTGGCCACCTAGCTCTGTTAGAAAATTCCTTTGAGCGCTATTTTACTGAAGGCGTGGTGGGGCCGGTGGGATTAAACTGTGACATCCCATTAATTATTGCCATGTCTTGGGTTTACACCCTTCAGTGACTAATGCTTTTAACTCCCAGTGGGAAGGAATGGCAGCATCCTGTCATGGTGGCACCGGGGAAGCCAGCTATGGGTGGAGAGTAACATGTCAGTCATGGACCCTGGCTGGCAGAAACCTGTCGGTAAACAATGTGGAGAATTCCGATTAAATAGGCTGTCCTAAAGCCTCTCTCCTGGTCCCTAGAGGACCAGGCTGAGTCTGCAGCACCCCGCGTCCAGGAGGAATAACACTGAATTATCTGCTAGCTGTGCGTCTGCATTGCCAATGTTTTGTTGCTTGGTGCCTTGGAGACAGAGAGCAGATGGATGCTGCTGTGTTCTTTGGCATGCTCCAGCTGGGCCGTGCCTTCATGCTGCAGGATCCTACTGAATTCTTTTCAGCAGAGTAATGACTTGCCTCAGGTATACTTCAGGGCTCTAGAGGAAAAAGTGGTTCCCCTCCACCTTACAGTCTTGTCCTCTGTTAGATCAGAGGGCAGCAAGTTTCTTAGGAGGCTGTTTTGCAGTCTTAATGCCTTTCTGTTCTTCCCACTTTCAGCCCCAGGATAAGCCTTGAGAAAAACTCCTTACCTGCTGCACAGGTCTCAAGTAGAAAGGCCACTCACAGGAGTACACAATGCTCCTTCCAGTCCTGTTCAGGGCCAGAGACATGCGCCTGTAGCCTAAAGGAAGAGGACAGACAGAGGTTACACAATCTCCTTGCTCAAACAGAGGAACTAATCCAATGTCACAAGTTCAGGTTTCAGTTCAACTTTTGCAAAATCAAGGCTGAACACATGCTCACGGCTGAAACACCACAGGAAGGACAGGGGAGCTTATAGTCTGCGGCCAGTCTCCTGCCTCCCAAGGGCAGGTGA